CCCCCGCCCCGGCCCACCTTGAGCCCTTTCAGCATCTGGTACACAAGGAACTGGACGCGGTCCTCACTCAGCTTGTCGTGCTTCATGAGCTTGCCCAGGTCAGCGCCCATGAACGGCATCACCAGGTAACTGTGGGGTGTGGGTGCAGTGCAGTCACACCCCTGGGGTTCAGAGCCCCCTCCCTACCGCTGGCCCCTGGTCAGATGCTCTGGAAGACCCCAACCTGCCAGGTACCCCTGGGTCAGCACTCGGCAGCCGCACCTCCTTGCCGCCTGCATTCAAGTACAGACCTTGCCTCCCACTGCCCATGCCGGAGGCTCCTGCTACGCCTCCCTGGCCAGTCCCCACACCCTGCCTCTCAGAAGCCCCTCTCAGCCCTAATCCTCTCCCCAGACTCACAAGCCTACCTCCTCCAACATGCTGGAACCTTCCTCCCACCTACCCTGCCTGGAACGTCTGGCAGGGACATGGCTGCCCTTTCAGGGTGCAGGGAGCCGAGGGCCAGGCTGAGGGGCAGGGGCTGCACCCTGAGGGCAGCAGGGAGCCCCGAAGCTTGAGGGGGAGAGGTGGGCATGGGAGAGGTGGGATGCCTGGAGCAAGGGTGGGGCAGCAGGACATCTGGGTAAGAGGGCGGGCTGGCTGGGTGGAGAGAAACAGGAGAGGCATTTGGGCCCTCTCCCAAGAGGACACTGAGACCAGTGTGGGTCCTTGACCTCTGCAAGGCCAGGTGACGAGGAGCCCACTGCCCTGTCTGGCCCTTTCTGGGCCAGGCCCCTGGCTTGCGGCTGAGACAGTGTGAGTCTGGGGGGCTGGTGGCGAGGCTAAGGGGCTGGCTCAGCAAGGTGGGGGCAGAATATGTCCTCCCTCTGCCCCTGCCCACCAGCAAAGGTCAGTGGCTCCAGTTACAGGCCACACGCTTGGTGCCACGGTCCAGTGTATAGGCCCTGCCTGTTAACAGACCTCAGGTCCCGCTCACACCTTGGGTGCTGGGGAGGGCCTGGGTGCTAGGAGCCCCAATTCATCCCGGCCAAGCTTCGGTAGGGAGAGGAGGCCCAGGCTCTGCTGGTCCCTGCCAGTGCCTGCAGGTCCCAGGAGCATGTGGGGGCAGGGGACTGGAGAGTGAGCAGTGTGTGCCCCGGCCCCTGTCAGGGCTGCCAGGAGAGGGCAGAAATCCCCATGCTAACCCAGAATCCAAAGGCAGTGCCCAGGAGCTGCGCTATGCCCCTCACCCCCCGCCCCCAGCCTCCAGTCAGCTGCTCACAAGTCTGTGAAGTCATCCAGGGTCTCGTCGGGAGTAAACACGTCAAGCAGCCCAATCACCTAGGGGACAGGGCCAAGAGCCAGTGGGGTCAGGGCACCGCACCTCCCCAGGCTGGCCCTGGGCTCCAGGCAGGAAACCCCCTGCAGCTGTCCACCTCGCCCCACACCCACAGGGCTGCTCTGCCCCTCAAAGCGCGGCCCAGCCCTGGCACCCAGGCCCACAGATAAGGCTATTTTTGGATAGTGACAGCCGGGATCCTCCCCCAAGTCTGGGACAGCTCTGAACCCCCAGAGGGGCTTCAGCCTGGGGACCCCCTAGGGGACAGCAGTGGCTGGCAAATGCTCCCCAGACCCAGGTGGGCATTGCTGTGAAGAATCCGAGCGAGAGTAGACCTGGCCCTGCAGACCCCGTCAGGGAGACATACAGCAGACAGGTAACCTGGCCACTGCAGCCCCTGGCTCAGGGAGGCCTCGGGGGTTGGGGCGGGGGGTGGGGAGAGCACAGCCTATCTGAGAGGTGGAGGGGCAGGGGGAGCCAGAGGAGGCCTGGGGCATGCAGCCTGAGGAGGAAGCGAGAGCACTTCGTGAGTTTGAGGAACACAGGGAGGAAGGCCAGGTGGCCAGGGCCCAGGCCAGAGGGAGTCAGGGCAGGGCCTTGCATGCCAGGTGAAGGCCTGGCTTTGATCCTAAAAGCCACCCAGGGAGGGTTTTAAACAGGGGTGAGGTGTCAAATATTGCTCTGCCTGCTGTGTGGGGACAGACTGGAGTGAGGCAAGAGTGGACAGGAGGGTGGAGGACAGTTGGGTGACTACTGCAGCCACCAGGGCCAGAGCTGGGGTGAGGGTGGGGCAGAAAATGCCAGCTGGGTGCCTGGATGGTGCGGGGGGTGCAAATGTGACCTAGGTTGCTAAGGGGCATGGGAGAGGGGAAGGGGCAGAGCCCTTATCAGAGACGCGTCCACATCAGACACACGGGCCGCCCAGAGAGGGGCCTGGGAGCAGATGGAGGCCGCAGGTGCAGCGTTGAGAGCTGAGGGCCTGAGGCTGCCACGCGGACAGTGTTTTAGCAGGAAGAGGGCAGGGAACAGAGCCCTAGGGGCTGGGAGTTCATAGAGGTGATGGACGACTTCTGTGCCTCTGCAGGGTGGATGGCGGCAGGAGGGTTGGGGTTTAAGAACCGGCAGGCCTGAAAGGCCAGCCCCTGCGCCAGCGGCCACTCTTCCACACACCACTAAGCGTCCTCACAGGAAAATGGGGTGCAACTGGATGGGCCCGATGACGTGGTGGGGACAGCCAGCACAGTAGAGGGCATCCCTGTCAGCAAGACAGGGCTGCTGCTCGAGGAGGGTACTGGAGTGGGGTGAGGGGTGGGAGGTGACAGAACTAAAGGCCCCCCGGAGTGGAAAAGGGTGATGGGGAGGGGCTGCTGGGCAGAGCTGACTGAAGCCTCGGGTGGGGAGTGTGACTGGGAGTGGAGAGGCCAGGGAACCCTGGGCTGGGGGGAGAGGAGGTCTAGAGGAGACAATGGGGCAGAGCAGGCAGTAGCAGTGGCTGGGAGCCAGGGACAAGTTTGCTGGGGGATACAGGAGGTGCCAGAGCATCAGTCAGGAGCACTGAGTGACCTGGGCGGAAGGGGACAGAGCTCACAGCCCGGGGAGAGTGCCCTGGCAGAGAGAAGGGCTCTTAGCCACCAGCCTCAGCCACAGGGCAGCCATCTGTGGTATCGCAGGGGCAGGCCTGGAAACAACAAGGCAGGCCTTTCCCTGGCAGGGCCCAGCTCCTCCTCTGACGGCTGAGGCAGGAAGGACAGCCCTTTTCGTGCCAGGACTGTGCCCCGTGCTTTCCCCGCCAGCTCCCTAAACGCTTCACCTACCGAGACACCAAGGCTGAGGTGGCAGGGCCAGGGTGCCAACTACACCCGCCCTGCAATTCCACATCCCACACGAGGCAGGGGGACTGGCCCTGCCTGAGGCCGCGGACTCGAAATGAAGGAGCAGATGGGCCGGGGGCTGAGTGGAGCCTGGAGAGGGACCATCGGGGATGCCCCCAGAAAAGTGCCCCTTCCAGGAAAATCGCTCCTCCCACCTGCAGCGTCTCCTCTCAGCCAGGGCTCCTGGGTTGGAGGCAGGTTTCGGGTCAGACCCACAGGATGCCCCACACCAGGGCCTGGGAGCCAGATGCCGGCAGTCCCAAAGAGAGGCCAGGAGCTGAGTTCTCCACAGGAACTGGCCCAGGAGGAGGCCTAGACCCTGGGAGGCGGTGGAGTGGCTGAGGAGTGAAAGACCCCCACTCTGCCCCCGCTTCCCCTGGCCCCTCCTCAGGCACTGACTGGGCGCTGTCCACCTCCACGTCCACCACTACCACACGGGGGGACCGGGCCGACGACCCCCGACTCACGTTCTCGTGGTGCATGTGCTTCAGGAGTCGCAGCTCGCGGTAGGCGCGCTTAGCGAACAGCTCGGACTGGAAGGGCCGATACAGCTTCTTGATGGCCACTCTGGCGCCGGTGCGGCTGTCCACGGCCGAGCTGCGGGGTGGGCCGCTCAGCGGGGGCCAGGCCACCCCGCCCGTCGCCAACCATCCGCCGGCCACCCCTCTGGCCACCCCGCCGGCCGCGCTCACCACACGGCGCCATAGGCGCCCGAGCCCACAGGCTGCAGGTCCTGGTACACGACGCGCACCTCCCACACCGTCTTGGTCACCTCCTGGCGGTAAAAGCCCTTGCGGGCGGGCGGCGGGGAGCTCATGGCGGCCCCGCGCCCGCCCCGCGGCAGACCCCGCAGGCGCCGAGAGCCGGGGCTCGGAGCGGATCTGTGGGGCTGCTTGGCGCGCCCGGCCCTCCCGTTCTTCCCTCGCGGTCGCCGCCCTCCGGGCCCCGCGAGCCGCTGACCCCGACCCCGGTCCCGGCCGGGCTGCAGCAGCGCGGGGCCTCTCCCCCACCCGCGGACCAACCAGGTCCCGGGCCCAGCGCACGTGACGGCCCAGCCCGGGCCCTCCGGAAACCCAAGGCGGCTTCGGGGAGGGGCCAGGCACCATGGGGTGGGGGGGACCCGGGAGCGTCGCCCTGCAGCTCGTCCAGGCCTCGCTCTCAGCCCGGGTTGCAGGGCCCGCGAGGCTCCAGTGTCCTCCTTACACCCCTGTAACAGGGCCCTGGGCCCAGCCTGGCCGGCCTGAACCCCTAACCTGTACCCTCAGCTCCTGGTCACTGTCTACCAGCCTCCCTGACACCATGCCCACTCCCTTGTCCACCACCTGGTCCTGTGTCCTGCATTCCTGATGTCAGCTCCCCAGCCTGCCACCCAGGATGCCCCCACCCCTGGGGCTGGTCCATCCATCCCCTAATGTCTCTGGCCTGCAGCCCCGCTTTGCGTGCAGCGGAAGGGCCCACTTACGTCTCCAAAAGTTGTCTTGGCTGTATCCCCAACACCTATCCCTGTGGTCACTGTCCCCAGGTCTCCCTGAGGACTGTACTTGCCCCCCTCCATGCCTCTCCCCCAGCCAGAGGGCTCTCTCTAGACCACTAGGCTGGTCTTGGAGTCCCCTCAGACACCTCCAGCCCCCTACCCCCACCACGTGACCTGCGGAGTTCTTGCTCCCAGCCTTTGCTCAGTGTGGGCATCATCAGACATGGGTCTGCCCATCTTTGACGGGACCCCCCCACCCCCCACCCTCTCCCCTAGTCCAGCAACGCCAGGGTCTGAAGAGGGAGTGTGGGGTCTCCCCTCAGGAGCTGACTTGAGGGCAGGTAACGGGATCCTGATGCCCACTACCCCACCCTCAGTGCCCCGCCTGCCCGCCATGAATCAGCAGCTCAGTAGCCTCAAGCCTCAAGCCAGGCCAAGCAGCTTTACGCCTGGTGATCTGAGTGCTCACGAGCTGGCGGCAAGCTCGGGCAGCCTGCGGCCCAGCCCAGCCCAGCCCAGGAGCACAGCCTTCGTGTGCCAGAGCTGCTCCTGTGAAGGTGGCATGACCACCACACCGTCACCCCCTCCAGGAAGTCCCCCCCAGATGCCGCCTTCCTCCCAGAGGTGGGCAGTGTCCCAGTTCTGTGTCCATCCTACCCCCGCCCCTCCCCGCCACTGGACTTGGCTCAGGCTTGTCTCTGGGGCATCCCAGGATCTCAGGCTCTGCAGCTACACTGACCACACAGTCCTCCACCACTTGAGGCCCAGGATAAGGCAGGCTGTCCTTGACCCCTGGGGACCCCGGTCAGGGCCCGCACCCCAGCCCCCAACGTGTGAGCTGCAGTGAGTGGTAAGGGCATGCCTGGTGTGGGTTGAAAGGGACCCTTTTTCTCTTCCAGACCATCGACACTCGAGGTGGCATTGTCATCAGCCAGGCAGGAAACCAGTGCTATCGCCCCACCCCTCCAGGTGGTGGGGACCCAGGGAACAGGGCCTGGAGCCTCAAACACCAGCTGAGCAAGAGGGAACCCCTTTATTGAGCACCCCGTGAGCAGGCACTTCACATCCAGACCTCACTGGGGCCCTGGAAGGTAGGAAGTCACCACCAGCACCCCCGGACACAGAGACCCCACCAGGGAGGAGTCACACTGTCCACACCGTCCAAGCAGGGTCCTATCCCCAGAGGCTCTCGGGGTCAGCTCCATCCTGGGAGGAGGAAGGGACAGGGGCGACCCCAGATCCCGAAATCTCAGCCCTGGGCTGCAAGGCCATGTGGGGAGGGGGCAGAACCAGGCCGAGGTCCAGGGACCCAAGCATCCGAATCCAGGTCCGCAACCATGTGTACATCACCCCCTATGTCAGGCCTCAAGGCTGGACGCTTGCCTCCTCCCCCAGCCAGGTCCCCGGCTGGCATTGTGCCTTCTTCCTCAGAGACCTGCTGTAGCCGCCCTCGGCCAGGGAAAGCACGATGAATGTCCCTCAGTCATCTGAGCCTCTTATGGGGGGCACAGCAGGGTGTCGGGGCCCCTCATGGCATCAGAACTGTTGAGGGAGAGGTGGGCAATAGTCCAGCCACCCTCACTTTGGCCTCCCACTTGTCCTGGCCGATGCCTTGGGAGCCTGCAGGTTCACACATGCCAGTGCACGCCTATACATGCCAGCACACGCTCCCTCATAAGGAACGCACTCCTGCATGTGTGCCCACCCCACACAGGCCCCCATGCAGGCACCAGGCAGCCCTTCTGCCCCCCAGGGAGGACCCTGCCAGCCTGGTGGGGCACTGGCCATGCCCCAGCTCTCAGCCTCCACTTCCATGCTGAGCATCTCTGACCACTGAGACCCCTCCCTTTGAGTGCCAGGGACCCCTGCCCCAACCCCACCCCCAGGGACAGCCCTCTGGGACACAGAGGAGAGGAAAAGACAAACACACTCCCCAGGTAGCCTCTGGGGCATTCAAGTCCCCCCACTGTGCGGCCCCCAGGGACACCCAGATGGCCGGGTGGGAGTCACCACCGTAGGCGCAGGGACATGGCATGCACGTGTGCACACGTTTTCCTGAGTTCCCACATGTGTGTACAGGCTCCCTTGAGGTGCAGCGTGCGGGCTGATGGGTCCCAGGCCAGGAGTCAGGGCTGCCGGGCCCTAGGGGTGTTGGGAGGCACCCTTCATGGGATGCCAGTGTGCTGGGGAGGGGCAGGCTCAAGCCCATTCCATGAGCTGGAGTGTGGCTAGCAGCGGCTCACTGCTCAATCTCCAGGCTGTCAGGTGGCTGTAGTGACTCTGGGGGCTTGAAGCTGAGGACTTCCTGGTAGGTGAGCTCTGGAGGAGGGGTGGAGGAAGAGGGGCCAGGTGAGCCTGTGCCTGTGCTGCCCTGGCCCAGCCTGCCCCACTCCCTGCTTGTCTGGCACCTGCCAGTCAGCCCCACCTACCAGGTCTGCACACTGATGCTCTCTGAAGCAGACTCAGCCCTCCCTGTACCTCTGTCCAAAGTCTGTGCCACCCCCAGCCTCTGCTCAACACCCTCACCCATCTCTGCCTGTCCCACCCAGGGTGGGGGCTGTGCTGTCCCTCCTCCCAGACCACCCTGGGGAAGAGCTGGGGCGCTCCCTGCGAAAATGGGCACCACCCGGCCTCTGCCCTGTGATTTCCGCCTGCCCACCCTTCCACTCCTCCACTGTGCGTTCCTTGGCCTCCACACTTTCATCGTAGGGCTCGGCCTCGGGCTCGTCATCGGGGTCGTGGTACTGGCTGAAGTAGGCATGGGCCAGGGCTTCAGACGCACTGACCCGCTTGTCGCTGTCCAGCACCAGCATTCGTCCCAGCAGGTCCACAGCTGCAGAGCATGGGAATTAGGGTGGATGTCAACTCCGCCTCCCCGCCCAACCGGAGTGGAACCCAGCCCCGCCTCAACTCCGTCCTCACCCAGAGGGTTGGCTCCTTGGAAGATGCTCCGGAGATCCTTCTGGGGCATGGGAGGCAGGGACTGTATGTATGTCCGGGCCTGAGGGCACAGGGGCAGGCCTGAGGAGGTGGATCACCCCCTATCCTCTTGGCCTCAAACTGGGCAGGGGGCTGCGGAGCAAAGCCCCAAGACTCAGTCACCCCAACAGGCCTAGGCAAGGGCATTTGCAGACCTGAGACCTCCTCCCCATCAGATCTGGTGGCATCTCCTTGCCTGTCCCTGATGCCCTCAGAACCTGGGCCTGGCCGCCCCCACCTCCCCCTCCCCAGTGCCTATGGCCAGGGCATTGTCAGTGCTGTGATTCTGTCTTTACTGTCCCTTGTGCAAGAACATCTTCCCCACTCTCCTCCATTCTTCCCCAAAGGGGTCAGACTCCATCCTTCAGTGGTCCTGTGCTTCCCATATGGAGCCTGGCCTGGTTCCCACTCCTTGTCCCCCTCCCCCGGTGCTCTGGGGCTCCGTCAACAGAGGGGCCAGGCTCACGTGCTCAGAGGATATCTTTGCCAGAACCTCAGGGCTGGGCGTGCCCACCACCTCCATGATGCGCTTCAGCTGGTCGATGTCTGCTTCGCTCAGGAAACGCCCACTGGCTAGGCCTGAACATTTCCAAGCCCCCAGACCCAGGCCTGAGGACACTACCCAGAACCTGATCTGCTACAGCTTTGCACAGTGAACCCATAGTGCAAGGTGGGGACAGTGGGGGCAAGACTGGTCAAGGAGGGCCAGAGCCCACCTCTCTCCCTGCCCCCAGCCCCCCAGGCAGGAGGGGACCCCGAATCAACTCTGGTCCCCAACCAGGCCAAGGATACAATCATTCCCTGGGAAGAGGGCCTTTCCCTGGAGCAGCTCTGCCATGATGCAGCCCACAGACCAGATGTCCACTGTTGAGGGGGAGGCCTCCATCAGTCTGCCCACACCAAGTCCCTCCTTGGGGAGCTCCCAGACCTCACCAGCCCAGCAGACCCCCAGTCACACCCAGGCCCAAAGGCAGGCAGACCCCTTCTTCCGCTTCTATTCTCAACTCTGGACACGGGGAGGGGTTATCGTCAGCTGCGGGGGCTATGGAACACCCCAGACCCACCTTGCTCAGCCTCCTCTGAAGGTCCGCGTCTGATGCTGGTCCAAGCCCTGTCTCTTCTCCAAGGCTGGGCAAAACTCCCCCCCCTCCCTTCACCGTTCAGCCCTGCTGTGAGCTCTGCCTGCCCCCCTGGCCCCAACAGGCACCTGTCTGGTTATAGTGCATCCAGTTGAGCATGATCTCAGGTGCCCGGTACCAGCGCGTGGCCACATAGCCGGTCATCTCCTCGTCAGCCTGGCGTGCCAGCCCAAAGTCCAGGATCTACCGCCACAGCCAAACGTTGTCAGCGGCCCCTAGCTGCCGCTGCCAGTCCCTCCCCACCTGTCCCACCTGCTCCTCCCGCCCACAGCCCCTCACCCTGAGTTCACAGTCCTCGTTCACTGCCACGTTACTGGGCTTCAGGTCCTGCGGGGGACGAGGCCGTGAGCCAGGCACACCAGCACGGATGGCGGAGGACCCCCATCCAGGACCAAGGGCGCCCCGCCTACCCGCGCACCTACCCGGTGGATGATGCCCGCCGAGTGGATGTACTGCGGGGGAGGGGAAGAGCACAGCACGGTGAGCCTCGCCTTCCGCCGTCTCCCCTCACTCTTCTACCCCGCCGGTGCCCCCCCACTGCGGATGGACCTCGGAGCCTCCCCCCAGCAGTGAACCTTCAGCCCGCGCAGCAGCTGGTAAACCAGGAACTGGACGTGCTCGTCGCTCAGCGCCTGGCATTTAACGATGTTGTTCAGGTCTGCGCCCATCAGGGTGGTCACCAGGTACCTGGATAGGGGTCAGGGGTCAGGAGACAGCACCGCTGCCCGCCTCCCAGAACACGCTCCCCGGGCCGCCGCCGCCATGCCGGCTCTGCTCTCACACTTCGCTGAAGTCGTCGATGGACGTGGCTGGAGTGAAGACGTCCAGAAGCCCGATAACCTGGGGTTGAGGGGTTGCAGTTCAGCCCCTGGGCAACCCCAGATCGGCTCAGGCCCCGCCCTCTCGTTGGCCCCACCCCTAGTTTCTCATAGCCCCGCCCTGGGGGCGGTCCCTCCCGTTGGCTCCGCCCCCGATGCCTCTAAGAGGAGCACTCAACCCCCCCTTACTCCAGGCCCACCCCGCCCAGTGGCCCCACCCCCCGGCATTCCCCGCCCCCATTGGTCTGTGCCAGGGCGCTCCGCCCCAACAGCGCTCCAGGCCACCATTGGCCGGCCACCAGGACGCACCGGCCCTATTGGCCCACCCGCCCTCTTGGCCCGCCCCCAGCTCACGTTCTCGTGCTTCAGGTGCTTGAGCAGCCGTAGCTCGCGGTACGTCCTCCGCGCGTGGATCAGCGACTGGAAGGGGCGCGATAGCTTCTTCACCGCCACCTTCTGGCGCAGCCGCATGTCGTAGGCCGAGCTGGAAGGCGGGCGAGTGAGGCCGCGCCGACGGGTCCGGGTCCAGCCCTGGCCCGCCGCCCCAGGCCGGCACGCAGGGACCCGGGAGGAGACGGACTGGACCGGTTCCGGGGCGCCTAGCCACCGGCTGCCTGGCCCCCTCTCTCCGGCCCCTCCGCTGCGCTGGGCCCACCTCCCTCCCTCCAGTCCTCCACGCCTTGCTCAGACTTGACCCCCTCGGGTGGGGCCTCTGCCCATTTGCTGACGGCAGGGTCCAGAAACAACCCTTTCTGACACGAACTCCCCAAGCCTCTCTTCTGTGCCTAGTCCAGTCCTCCTCCCTCCTCAAGAGGCAGTTCAGCTCCCACCACCACCAGCCTTCACAGACCGAGCGCCGCCGGGTCCCACAACAGAACTAAGTTCTTGTCTCGCCTCCTGCTCCCTCGCCCATGGACTCTTCCCCGAACGCAGGGGGGCCCAGGAAGAGCCCCCACCACCCAGCGTGAAAATGACACGTCAAGAAACGTTCCTCTCCCTCCCTCACCGCCCCATGGGTTCTGGGAGGCTCCCTAGATGCCCCTAAGTCCCTGGACCCTCAACACCTCCTCTGGGCACTGGCCCTGGAAATATTCAAGATATGGAGGGGAGATTGGCCAAAGGTGTTGATTGCATCATGTGTAACAGTGAAAAACTGGATGGCATGAAATGTCCAGCAGAGGGTGGTGCCTGGACACAGGGAATATCTCCCCTTGCCCAGCCCCGCTCCCCACAGGTCCAGACCCTCCATCCGGCACTAGCCCCTCACCTGCCTAAGGCCTCCTGAGACGCAGCAGTCACCTCCACCGTCCTCAAACGTAAATGGGACAGGGTCATCCCCCACCCGCCCATGGTCTCCACTGTCCGCAGGACCAGGACCCGACTACTGAACCCGGCTTGGGGCCTGGGCATGAAGGGTTTTGCACAGCCTGTTCCCTTCCCTCCCTCCAGCTTTACCTCTCATCTGCTGGCCTCCCTCCCCCTCCTCCCAGGAAGAGTGAGCGGAGCCTCAGGCTGTCCCCAAGTCCAAACTGTCTGGGAGGCTCCGGATAGAGCTTGGATGCTGGGGGGTGGGGGTGGGGGGATAGGGGTGGTGCAGGCAAGCTGGCCGGGCAGCTGGGGCATCCATGCCCCCAAGCTTATAAACCACCCTACAAAGGTCCAGTCACCTGGGTAGGGGGGGAGGAGGGGAGTGGCGCCTCATCTCTTGGCAGCAAACCCTTTTGCCTGATTGCGTCTGCGCAGTGGAGTTGACAGGAATCGGCACCCCATCCCCAGCTGCTGCCGGTACTAGCGGAGCCCAGGACAGGGCTATCCCCTGCACTGGAACCATGAAAACACGGCCAGGGATGCAGCGGGAGACACCCACCTCCTCCCCAACTCCCAGACGGACAATTCCCCGGGCAGAGGTGAGTCCAGCGTGGCTCTGCAGGTCCCCCGATGCACTCATGCATTGTCCCCGACCCTCCCCCTGCCCTTGACGACAGCGGCTTGAGGCTGGAATGGCTGAAACGGCCGAAATGGCTTGCCGGAAGCCCCTGACAGCCGGCAAGGACCAGCGAGATCAGCTGGCGGACCCCAAGCCTCTGCTCTTGACTCCAAGAAGCTCCGGGGATTTGCCCCTGCTAACGGTCTCCAAGAGCCTGGAGCAACACCCTGCCCCGCCCCGGTGGCCCCTGCTTCCCCCTGCAGTGGCCGGCAGCCACCTGGCACCAGCATCAGTAAGGACCCTGCTGGGTGCTGGAGGGCACCTCTCAACGTCCACACTTAAGCATCAGCCTCAGCTTCGCTGTCAACATCGAAACATCAACGCAGGGCTCCCTGTAACCGCCTCGCCCTAAGTCCTCTCCAGACCCCAGCACCAGGGGAACAAGGCCTGCAGGCCTCTGGGACCCCTCCCCACGCAGACTGGACCATCCGCCAGGGCCCCAGGCGGGACACCCCAGGATCCAGCTGCAGGGTTGTCGCCTGAGCTCCTTTGGTTGGGACAGAAATGGGTGGGTGCAGACCCTTCTGTTCAGGTCTAAGCCCCCCTCCGCAGCCTGAGTGAGCCCCCTGGAAAAGGGGTGGGGTCAAGGCCGGCGGGGGAGCCTCAGACCGGCCTCAGGGCGAAGGTCTTCACCTTCTCCCAGCTGGGCTGCCCCCTTTTCAAACAGAAGCACCCTCTGGGGGGCAGGGGGCTGTCTGCAGACCCCGGGGGCTGCCAGACCCTTGACTCGGGGAACCTCAGATACGTGCTCAGGCCTTCAGAGGCTCGGGAAACCCACCCTCCCGCAGGATCCAGGCCAGAGGACGCCCGTGCCCCCGCCGGAAGCGGCCTCTGGGAGGGGAGTTTCCTTCACGTCCCCCCATTCCTTCCGCCGTTCGGCGCGGGGGCCGGGGGCGGGGGCAGACGAGGCCCCTCCCCACGCCGGAGCCCCGCAGGGGGGGAGG